TTAGTATCCAAATAATTTTAATGTAGATTTTTTTTCTTTTCAAGTGTGGCAATATTCTTGTATATTACATAAATACTAGCACGAATCTTGAAACGATCGAGCGATTAGGAATTGGGGCACACACATGGGTCATAGACAACAGAACATAGAATCCATCAATAAATGCATTAATTGATTCGATGGCGCAGCCGATAGACGTGACCAGTCGACCGATATGAATCCTTTGTCTAAGTGAAGTCAGTGGACCGATGAGCCTACTAACTGAGAGGCCACCGTCAAAATCCACTTGGTATGATCTAAAGATCAAATCTTTGAAGGAAATACAGTCAGTTGTCTGAGATGACTAGCACGCGCATATGACAAACGATCAATATAACTGATCGATCCTAAAGCATTGGCCAACCGACGGGGCGTCAGCTCACATTATCAGTGTCATGTAATTTGAATAAGAATCGTTAAGACGGTTATAGAAACTATACTTTCTGTACATGTACTTGTTTTTTAAGACCCCTATAAATATGACGTCATGACATCGGTATAGGGACTTTTGAACTCTCTGATTTTTGGATTCTAGTACTTTTGGATCATCACACTGGTAAGTTCTGACACCTGAATATTCTCTTGCATTACTTAACTGTCCCTCTCTCTTCTTCTCTCAGTTCTAACTCTCAAGGTCTGTTCACAAGAGGACAATCCTAAATTCAACATCCTAAAAGATGGTTTGGTGAGCGTAGACATGCCACAGACGAGAAGCAGAGCCAATTACTAATGAGAATCACAACAGAGAGATCCGGTGCAGATGAAATTCAATAGAGAATTCGTGAATCAATAAATCTGACGATGGGTTCAAGAAATGTGGGATTGACTGATAGGAAAATTCGAGGCCCTTTGACAAACGAACTAGCAAAGGATCAATCAATCTGCACTCCCGAGGTTTGAATTTTGGGGAACTTACCCTCAGAAGGTTCCCCCAGAACACCTTCCAGCACCAGTCGGATGTGCCGGCAACCAAGCAGTTAAGGGAGAAGGAGGCTCCTAACAACTAGCCAGTACTGGATCTACGCCGATGTTAGGCATCGGGTAGAACGTGTCGTGGTGCCCTTTCAGCCTGCTTTTGAAAGCGCCTTCACCTGCAGATTTTGGAGGCAATGTCGTCGATGAAGCTATGGATTGCGCATCTGGACCCCTACAAGGTTAGAAGTGATCCAATCGACCACCTAGCATCTTTCAAATCATTAGTCGATATCCTGCAGACCGACAACACCATAATGTGTTACCTCTTCCTGACAACACTCAAGGTGTCAGCTCTTTGCTTGTTCCACACTCTGTCCATCAGAATCTTCCCTACTTATGATGAATTATATAAGTTTTTTCTATTACATTCCGCTAATAAACAAAAGCCCTAGAAGAAAACATGGGCTCTACTATTGATTAAATAGGGGAAGAACGAGAGCATGCGATCATACATCTCTCGTTTCTAGAATGAGATGTTGGAAGTACAAGACTTTTAGCCATCGATAGACTAGACTGCTCTAGCACAAGGGATTAGAGACGGGAGCTTCGAATATGATCTGAATATGCTTGAATTGAAGTCTATTTCCGAGAAGATCGAAATGGCTAACAACCATATCAACGGTGAAGAATCCTTCATAGACTGCTCCTTGATTGGTTTAGCATTGGCCAACCCATGGTTGAAGTAGAGAAAGACTGGAGATGAAGGATATAGTTTAAAGGGGCATCAAAATTTCAGCAACGTCCAACGACCACGGGAAAACTAAGACCATCAGAGACAAAGACTGCTCCTTGATTGGTTTAGCATTGGCCAACCCGTGGTTGAAGAAGAGAAAGACTAGAGATGAAGGATAGAGTTTAAAGGGGCATCAAAATTTCAGCAACGTCCAGCGACCACGGGAAAACTAAGACCATCAGGGACAAAATTGGAGTTCAGATCAACGACTGCTTTGGTACTTTGAGCGACTGCACGTGCACCAAGAGATTCAAAGTTTGACCCCACTAAATGTTTCAATGGTTTAATTAGTTGCAACCATCCAAGATAATGAACATTTTAGGAATGCCTCACCGATGAAGGAAAGAACTGCACTCTGAAACCCAAACAAATGCTTAATTACTATTGAGACCATGGACATGACGAAGAGGAATGTTGTCACCTCCAAAACCTGGTCGAGGAATTAATTAAAGTAGGGAAGCTGAAGTAATTTGTCACTATTCTGCCGATAGTTAAAGGTCCCCACGTAAGAACCATCTGATGAACCAGTCGAAGTGAGCGGGGTTTATGTCACCGGAATCATCCTGACTATCTTCAAAGGAGGCAGAGGAATATCCTGATGATTCGGCCATAAAAGCCATCGGTAGGGTGAGGTATGCTCCATTGCTTCTTATAAGCATAACTCGCCTATTGTCTTTACAAATGCAAACCTCCCACTAAAGGAAATCCATATGATGATGTAGTCTTCATTGCAGCATTGATCAACAACTATTAGGTGGGTAACATCCTGGTAGACGTCAGAAGCTCAGTGAACATCCTTTTCAAGATGGAGTTTAATAAGATAGGCCTGAAAACCGACCAGTTGACAACACCGACTAGTCCACTGTTTGGCTTCTCCAATGAGAGAAAAAAAGCCTTGGCTTTCATTGCACTAGATATCTTATGGGGGGAGCACTAAAAGCAGTACACTAATATGAAGGACTTTCTAGTAGTTAAATCATCTCTAGCATACAACGCCATATTCGACTGACCACTACTGAACAGTTGTCAAGCAATGTTTTAAACCTACCATGTGGCTATGAAGTTACCTGATGATGGAGAAATTATAAACTTTCGAGGGAAATTAGAGTAGCCAAGAAGTTGTTATCTTCAGGTGGTCACCAATGTGAGCCACGAGCTACTTGATTTTTAGAAACAAAGGTAAAGAGGACTTGAGACCAGTGAAACTATCCTCAATGTACTTGCTACCAATGATAAAGAATATGGTAAAAGTTTTTGTAATAAGTGAAACTTTTGATGCAGTACATAGAAATTTACTATACAAACTCTTCACGAGTACCATGACATCTTCACTTGGACTACCACGAGATTCCAAGGATCCCATTTGACATAGCATGTCATTGATGGAATATCAACCCAACCACTTTACTCATCCAACAAAAGATGAGGTTATAAGCCAGAACTGATCGATCCCATATCAGTGTAAGTACAAAAGTTAAAAGAGGTCGATTACATCTGAGAGGTTCAGTACCCAACTTAACTCTTGAACGTCGTGATGGTTTGAAAGCCCAACAAAAAATGAAGAATGTGTGTTAACATCACCAACCTCAATGTTGTGTTTTTGAAGGACACATACTCACTACCAAAGATCACTAAGTTGGTGGATGTTGCGGTTGGTTACTCTGTAATGAGTTTCCTCTACTCTTTCTCCGGATACCACCAAATAAAAATGCATCTGGTCGACACAAAAAAAAAATGCTTTCATTATAACAAAAGGAGCGTTTTGTTTCAATGTAATGCCCTTCGGGCTAAAAAATGCTGGAGCGACCTATTAATGCCTTGTGGATGTAAATTTTTCAAATCAAGAAGGAAAAAAAATATTAAAGTGTATATGGTTTTATTCCTAGTTAAAAATAAGTCAGCTGAACAACACATCGATGATTTAAATGCAACATTCGAAACACTCAAAAAATATAATATGAAGTTAAACCCCAAAAGCACTTTTGGGGTGTCTATCAGCAAGTTTTTGGGCTTTTTACTTAATGCCGAAGGAGTAAATCTAACCCTAAAAAGGTGTGAGCCATTTTGGATGAGTCATCTCCTAGGAATACTAAAGAAGTTCAGAAGCTAATTGGCCAAATCGCATGTTTGGGTCTGTTCATCTCAAAATCGGGAAACAAATGCGTAACATTCTTCGGAGCCCTACAAAAAAGTTAATATTTTGAATGGACACCTGAATGCGAAGAAGCATTTAAGAGTTTGAAAATTTCTCTAGCTTCACACTGCTACTTCAAAGTCCAAAGGTGACAAAAGAACTTTCTTTGTATCTAGGTGTCGGGCGAGAGGTTGTCAGCTCAGTGCTGGTTTGGGAAGAAATCGAGAAGCACTTCCCTGTTTATTACACCAGACGAATACTTAGAGGTGCCAAAATCAGGTACCCAATTATGAAAAACTAACATTTTCCTTGACTATTTTAGCTCGCAGGCTTTGACCGTATTTTCAAGTGTATCTTATTTGGGCTATCACAGACCACCCACACAAGTTGATGCTCATGCAAATATAACATTCCGACCGATTGCTAAAATGTTCGGTGGAACTTAGTGAGTTCAACATAGCCTATATAACCTGAATCATAATCAAGGCCCAAGCGATTGTAAATTTCTTGGTAGAGTCCTATGAGGCAGAAGAATTGATCGAGCAAAATATTTTTGGCAATTGAATGTGGACCTTATACAATGATGGAGTCTCCAAATAAATGACCGCTGATTTGGGATTCTCTTTAGGAGCCCAGCTGAATTATACCTCTATCAGTTGATCTAGATAGATTTTGACATCACCAATAATCAAGCTACATATAATTCTTGAAAGCAGGCTTCGTTTGGTGTACGGAATCAGTGCTCGAGATTTACTAGTAAAGTTAGACTCATTGCTAGTTGTGAAATAGGTCAATGGGAAATTAGAGGCGAGAGACAAATTAATAGCCAAATAACTCGCTAAGTCAAAGGCAAATATTATGAGATACAATAATTTTCAAATTAAGCATGTCGATTAAGAAGATAAGTATGTCGCGAACATCATGTCTAAGCATGTTGGCTTAGGTGGAGCACTACAAAAACTTGTTTGACCGAACGATTGAGGAACTTGAGGTCATGGTATAATAGTCAAAGGGACGAAGAGTTGGGTGGATCCATACATCATCTACCTAGAGACATGAAAGATATTGAAAGACATTACTGACACAAAGCATTTCAAAAATGAAGCAGCATTGTAACTGATGATCGAAGGAAAGTTCTTCAAGAGATTGGAAACATTGGTGTACCTGAGATGCCTGAAGGAAGATGAAGCGCTAAACGTTCTCAGGAGGTACACTTCAGAGAATGCGATATTCACTCTAGAGAAAAAAATCTAGCATATGAGGTATAACGATAAGGCTACTTCTAGCCCACACTCCTCAAGAATGTTGAGGATTTCTCTAGGAATTGCGAGCAATGTCAGAAGTACACACCTCTACATTATCAGCCGACTCGCAAGATTTAGCCGATTTCAAGTCCCTGTCCTTTTGACACTTGGGGATTGGACATCTTGGTTCCTTTTCTACCATCTAAAGGTCCGTAGAAGTTTATTTTAGTAGCGATCAACTACTATTCCAAGTGGATTGAAACTAAATAGCTCACTCGAATTACCACTGAAGTGGTGTGAAACTTCATTTGGTTGGATCTCATATGTAGATATGGATTGCCACTGATCATCATCAATTACAATTGAACACAATTTTCAGATTAGCATGTGAAAGATTTTTTGCTCAAGTCAGGGGATTGATTTGAAGTTTTATTTGGTCCATCAACCTCGAATGAACTGGTAGGTTGAGGCAGCTAACACGGATATACTGAATTTTCTAAGGAAGAAAGTCAAAGAAGCCAAGGGAAATTGGGTGGACCTTCTACTGTCAGTACTTTGGGCCATTCAGATGATACCATCATCAGCGACCAACCAAATACCATTCATGTTGACTCATGGAATGGAGGTAGTGGTACTATTCAAATATAAGCATCATAGTCATAGGGTTGTCTTAGCTGTGTCAATCACAGAAGAAAATCTTGTAGGATGTTAGGAAGCAAACAACAAGGGTGTTATGTTACCTCTCTATCAAGCAGAAGAAATGCCAGCTGATTCAGTCCTCTGGCAGAAAGAAGTTAAAAGGCGGACCGCACACTACTTTAACAAACATGTCTGAGAGAAGGTATTTGTCCAAGGAGACTTGGTGCTGAAGAATATTGATTCAGCCGCCTGGGGATAGTCGGTCGACAAATTGGACCAGCATGGAGTGGACCATACATAATCAACCAAAGAGTCTCTCTAGAAGCTTACATGCTTAAGATATACGCCAGAATTGGATTCCCTCAAACGTGGAGCAAAGATGGCTTGAAGAAAATTTTTCCTTAAAAATTTTTACGTAATCATAAAAGGAGTGTTGCTATTAAATTGTAAATTTGATCCGTAAAATAATAATTATTATTAGCTAATTTTGCTTAAACAATGTTCAGGTCTCTCCAACACTCAGGGAATTCGATCTGATCGATAAGATAATGACGGTCAATTTTTTAAACTAAAAAAATGTGTTTTTAAACGACTAATGTTTGATGATAATTTTTCATACTTGCCAAGCTCAAGACAATTAATCAAGAGATAGAACGACAAAATACAATAATACAAACCGACCAACCATAGAAAAATAGCATTGACAACACATTCCCAGGGAGTACAATACATTTGTTCGACAACTGCCGTTGGAGGTCTGGTCAACTTTGAGGAGCTAAGGCGAGGAGCAGATCCACACAGCACATCTACAGGAAAAATTCTCTATACAAACGGGTGGGGAGCACTTAGAAGCATTAATAATACGTCGCTGGTAAGTAACACATCTGTTTGATAACTACTGCCAAGGGTGGAACCAGAACGATCGCCTGATAGTGGCATCCCCTTTCTCTGGTACTCTTTCAGCCTCCAGCCTTTCCTCCATTTTGGGGAAGGAATGAGAAGATGGAAGGCGAGGAGAGTTGGCGCTCTCTCGTTAGGCGAGCTTCAACACAGATCCTTAGTCTTTCTCGTGCTATCTTGAGGTTTTCTCATTGTAGGGAAAATGCGAATGCAGACACACAGAGAGAGAGAGAGAGAGAGAGAGAGAGAGAGTTCTTCTTTTGGAAGTCTGTTCTCTTTCAAAAATTTGTAACAAATGTACCTTATGGTTATTGTTACTTGGATGCTTTGTACTTTTTGACCGAGAAAAAAAAATGTCTAGTTTTATTGAGTTGCAAATGTTTTGTCTATCTTTCACGGAACACTACACCCGTTTGTGAGGTGGGATGACCTCTATAGTCCACCTTGTCTAATGCCGCGTTTGACACCCAACTCAGAGAAAATTCCCTCCTTCGATACTTGACTTGAAGAAAAAAAAAACTAGCACATAGACCAAGCAAGGTCTGCCATCCTCGCCAGTAGAAAATCTCCTTCGCCTCCGACTGCACGTAAAAGTCGACCACATTCTCTTAGTAAGTATAAACCCATTAAATGTATTTTGAGTATAAGCGTAAATAGTGGATGAATCCTCCCTTTTTAATACAAGGGGATGGTCAATGTTCCCAATAGGAATTGCTCGACAAAAGTCCGCAGAACCACCATGGTAAGACAATTCATTGCCATTACAGGACAACTCGAGGCTGTAACATGACAGTTCATTTGCCGGTTTCAATGTTCCCAATAGGAATTGCTCGACAAAAGTCCGTAGAACCAGCATGGTAAGACAATTCATTGCCATGACATGACAACTCGAGGCTGTAACATGACAGTTCATTTGTCGGTTGCCTGAAAAAGAAAGAGAAAATTAGATCATAATTAAGGCAATCTTTAAAGCTCCAAGGGTCAAGAGAAAAGATATTGTGCCATTGGTCCCATAATGGTCATTCTCTTTGAAATACTTCGGGAACTCAAATAAATCGAGTGCAATAGAATCCAAAACGATCAACTACAATACATCGATTGAATCATTTTTTACATTTCCTTTGAATTAAAAAACTCGAGTTCCCAAAGTCAAGAGGATTCGATTTTTGGAGATGGTTCTTTGCTCGTTAGTGACAATATCCATGAAAGCATAGTGTAAATCATCCAGAAAAGAAGTCTCCAGGGTTACCCTCATCGGATAATGACAAGATCTGTGCCTAGTGTAAGGAGTAAAGTTGGCTGAGATAAAGATGCAGTTGATCAGACAAGGTTAAGGATTAGGGATGACGTGGGTTTAGTGTGAAACAATTAATCGGTGTAAGATAGTCAATTGTCCAAAGTTGAAGTTTTCTACAATCAGTCAATTTTATCGATCAATGAGAATAAAGTAACTCTAAATTACAATTTAATTTATTGGCCAAACAATTTAGTCAACTAGTCTTTTAAGGATAATAATCCATCAATGTGAAGATGCGAATCGTTCAATTTTGGGATTTAGCTCTACAGGTAATTCAATGTATAATAGTGATAACATCCGCAAAACTTTATTAAAATCACCATAGATGCAAGTCTCACCGGAGGCGATAATCCAATCAAACATGTTTGAATGGAGCACACCCATTTGATTGATTAAAAACAACCGACTCACTTTCAAGTTGAGCAAAAAACCTAATTATCAAAGATCTATCACAATTATTGAGAAACATACACAAAATGTCGATAAAAAAAACTTTTATATAAGCTAAAATGCTTACAATTTTCTTGGCATTAGCTTTCCTTTTGACTAACTAAGAAAAAGAGAGAATACAAATTTTTTGATAAAGACGGGGAAGCTCAAAGCATAGTGAATCGATCTTCCTTGCTTCAGGTTTCTTCGGCCTCTTCCTCCATAGATCCCTCAACTTCGTCGTTAAAAAGAACTCTGAATTCCTCTGGCTGAGAATACTTAGCATTGATGAGGTCATGCTGCATAAGTCCTTCAATTGCAAAATCCATGTCACGACTATAAAACTTCGTCAACCCTGCCACAAGCTTTTCGTATGGAACAAATGAAGCAACTTACTCTTTTAAAGCCTCTAGCATCCCAACAGACTCTTTATATTCTGCATTGGCATTTTGAAGCTTCACTCAAAGGAGTTGCTTGTCATCTCTTCAAGGTCTGATACTTAGCACGTACATGAAAAAATTTGCAATCAAACTATCACATATTTTACTCGTATCATTTGACACCTAAACATTTGTTACATTCTTTAGCTCTCTCTCTCTCTCTCTCTCTCTCTCTCTCTCTCTCTCTTTCTCTCTCTTCTCTCCTCTCAACTCAAACTCTCAGGGCGTGTTCATAAGAGGACAATCCAGAATTCAACAATTCAGTAGACAAAAAATGTCGTGCCCTCCAACTCTCAGAATAAATGAAGGTATTTTTGTTGCATGAAATAATCTTACAATCAAAAGCAACATAAAATTAAACTATTAATGTTTGTATTTGCATTTGCAATAATATAATCAAAATCTTAAAAAATATAATAAAATTATAAACATTAGCTCTTATTTGGGATCAAATTTATATTACATTTTTACTTTTATTTCTATTTCTTCTTTTGTTTTTAAAATATATTTTCCTAACAATATTTACACCTTTTTATTTTTTATTTCAAAATATTAATATATAAATCTCTTAAAATAGTTTAAAAATCTTCAAGTGTTTTAAGTGTTATACAATTAATACTATCTTAATTAGTTATATCAAATATATTTTATTTCAAATAAAATATAAATAAAATAAAACAAAATAAAAATAGAAAAATAAAAAAATATATTTAATTTCCAATGATTTATTTATTTTTTGAATGGATTGATTATATCATATGAAGAAAAGCTAATGAAGAGGTGATTGAATGCATCAACTGCATTATGAGACAATAATCAAACTAATTTGGTGTTCAATCAATTCAATAGAAGTATGATTATGTTGCATTATGACAAGTACTTTGCTTTCTTAGATGAATTTAAATCAGAATATGAGTATGATTATTATATGCAAGAATAATTGACGGTTGCTTAAAGAAATGATTTGAGAGAAAGTAAAGGAAGGTTACAAAGGCTCTCTTTCGTATTCAACAAGCGATGATGGTCATTAAATATTTCCAATAGTTATGATTGATGCCACCTCGAGAGGATCATGAGATTTTCTTTAAGAAAATATTAAGATGCATCAAAGGTAATTGTTATGGAGTTACAAACTATTTGTCTTGATAATGAAAACTATATAATTTTTCTTGAATGTTTTTAGATTTTTTCACAAGTGTTGGTTCAATTGTGAATTAAAATTGAATACATGTAAATAAATTATCAGATAATATTATTAA